CAAGGCCTTCTACAACAAATCCTTCAGGCTGATCCATATAAATCTCCTCTTCTAAGTCTCCATTTAAAAATGCAGTTTTGACACCCATTTGATGTATAATAAGATCATATAGTGAGGTAATTGCAATTAACATCCTAATAGAGGTAATCCTAGTAACGGGTGAATAAGTATCAAAGAAGTCAACTCCTTCCTTTTGTTTATAGCCTTTAGCTACAAGTCTTGCTTTATATTTATCAATTGAACTATCAGATTTAAGTTTTTTGTTAAACAGTCATCTACACCCAATTGTCTTACATCCTTGAGGTAAGTCCACTAACTCCCAAGTATTATTAGATATAATTGAATCATATTCACTATTTACAGCTTCCTTCCAAAATATAGAATCTGGTGAAAACATAGCTTCACCAAAAGTACTAGGATCATTCTCTACTAAGTAGGTTATAAAGTCAGGACCGAAAGAAGTAGTGGTCCTAGGTCTTTTGCTTCTCCTAATTTCAGCTTCTTCTAATTCAGATGACTCCTCTCTAACACTAGGAGGAATACTAAAAGAACTGCTTGATCCTTCAGACTTTTCTTTACCATCTGCACCCAATTGTCTTACATCCTTGAGGTAAGTCCACTAACTCCCAAGTATTATTAGACATAATTGAATCATATTCATCATTTACAGCTTCCTTCTAAAATATAGAATCTGGTGAAAACATAGCTTCACCAAAAGTACTAGGATCATTCTCTACTAAGTAGGTTATAAAGTCAGGACCGAAAGAAGTAGTGGTCCTAGGTCTTTTGCTTCTCCTAATTTCAGCTTCTTCTAATTCAGATGACTCCCCTCTAACACTAGGAGGAATACTAAAAGAACTGCTTGATCCTTCAGACTTTTTTTTAAACGGAAATCTATTTTCAAAAAATTCGGCATCTCTAGTTTCAAATATTGTGTTCTTTTCAATCAAATTATTTTTAGAGTCAATGACTAAAAATCTGTAGGCATTACTATGAAAAGCATACCCTATA